TGACTTACGATCCTTCCCTTCGCCTGGATGGTGGCCGCGGTGAGCATGACGCTGGCGCCCGTCTTCAAGGACTGCGCTGCCGTGGAATCCTGAGAAAGTTGATCCATATTCCATTTAGGACCCCCAGGTTTTGTTTCACCCATCGGTAACTTTTCCCATACGGTTGAAACATATCATCTTGTGGTTTTCCATCGAATGGTCATCCTATGTAATTAAAGGATATTGATCAAACCCCGAAATGAAGCTACAAGCCCTTGTATCCTCATAGTGGCTGGCCAGGCTGGCCCCGCAAGCCCCCCGAAAGTGGCTGTATCCTCCCGGATTCGGGTGGCTTTCAGCTGTAGAGGGATCCTGAAGCGAAGTGTCTACTCCAGTGCAATCCGAGCATCCCCAGGGCCATCCTTGCGTACCGACACAGCCGAAGACGCCGAGGGCGGCTTTGGGATCCGCGGGGAACTCACGCGGACTAGTGCTGGACCGGTGTCCTGCAATCGGATCCATCTGGCAAACGGGGGGCTCTCTTTGCCAAGCGCTGAAAGTATCACTTTCAAGAGACAAGACATAGCAGCCAGTTGTTTGACCCAGACTACAAGGGAATATACTAGCCCTCCTTCAAGTCATTGATTCTATTTTTGTTTCCCGTCCATGGGGCGCCCAGTTTGAAACATGCCTCCAAGCCTTGCTGGTCAGACGGTCCTGCACGGGTCCTACGATCTGCCCTTCTGGGGGCAGCAAAGTGCCTCAGGGCACGAAGTAGGCTATTCACATTCAGATATTCCGCTTTGGCAAGCTACTATGATTCCCAATCGGACTTGCTGGGAACCCCCCTGTAAAGTATGCGTGAGCTCACAATTTGCCCAAATAAGCTTTCGCTATGCTGCCAGTGACACTCAATACCTTCCGGCCAAACATCGTCGAATTTCGCGGAAACCATTACGAAGAAACATGCTACAACCGCAAGACAAAACACAACAGATCAAGCAAAGCAGCTTTGCCGTCTTGGTAAGGGGGGAATGTGCGGGACAACCGTATAACACACCAATATATTTCACCCTTGCTGCGAGTAACAAATAAACCAAACGAGCCAAAGCAACCAGAAAACAACACATAGCATTGGAGTCATTGGAGGTGTGGAGGTAGGCTGGCGTCACGGTAGGCTGGCTTGAAGTTCTGCATACGTGTGAAATCATGGTTGATCACGGAGAATGGTTCGCACAAAAAGTCCACGTTCCCCAGGCGCGCACGCTAGCAAACCCTTTAGAAAATAATTAAACATGAGGGTAGGAGCCAAGCCAGAGCAAGCAAACCAGCAGCCCGTCTTGAGCTCCGAAATATCGCAGAGCAAAACCAAGCTCGCACCAAACTCCTCAAGACGGGCTGCTGGTTTGCTTGCTCTGGCTTGGCTCCTACCCTCATGTTTAATTCTTTTCTAAAGGGTTTGCTAGCGTGCGCGCCTGGGGAACGTGGACTTTTTGTGCGAACCATTCTCCGTGATCAACCATGCAATTGTTCTCAGACTTGCCTGAAGGAACCACGACAAAGGGCTATCCTTGTAGAACGTGACAGAACGTCCACCAAGATAACCATGCGCTCGGCTTCGGGTAAGCTGGGGTTCTTGCGACATGCCAGCTGTTGCAAAATGCACACAACCCGAAATTCAGGAATCCTGAAGGACCTTCAGCAAGGGAAAGCTGCTTCTACCCTCAGGTGGGCTTCATAGAATGAATGCTTTCAGTGCAGCTCAGCCACGCGAGACGGGCGCATCCCTCTTGGCTGCTGCAGCTTTTGCGGCGGCCTTTTGGGCCAGCACTGCAGCTGCTTCCGCTGCCCTTTGGGCAGCTTCCGCTGCAGCCGCCTTCACCGCCTCTGCGGCGCGTGCTTTCGCCTCCGCTTCTGCCGCGTCGGCTTCTGCTTGCACCGCTTGCGCGCGCGCATTGGGGCCTTTGAACGCAGCATGGCCTGGCGCATCAACATCCCGTCACAAGGGTTGGGAACCTCGGATCAAATCCAACTTTGTCCTAGGGGTTGAATTCAAGGAGGGGTCCTCCACCACTCCACACTCCACACTCCACCTGCCCACCCCTCCACCACTCCACAGTCTACCTGCCCGAGTGACCAGGCCTGAAGCCTCCTTCGCAAGCTCTGGGGAAGGGCTGCGCATCCGAAATCGCACCAGTGCCTGCACTGCCAGCCCGCCTCAGACCATCGTGCCCCATCCACACTGACTATCATTCACCACCCGCAAAAGCAAATCTCGAAGCGCTAAATGGACCTGCATCGCTCGCAGGCGGAGCCGCTCGCTTTTGCCACATGTGTTTGGTGGCCCTTTTTTGCAAAGTTACCGGTCCGAATGAATTTATTGTCAGACTTTCCCAAGGAACTTCTGCATGAGAAACAGCCCTTTGTAGGCGCAGAACTCAGAACTCACAGACCGCTGCGCCATCAGAGTTTTGCGCGCGGCGGTTGAGATGTTCACCTTATCTGTGATACCAAAATATCTGATCACCTATGACTTTGTCACTAAGGGCTTTCCTTGGTATCACCAAACATCACAGTTGATCCTGAAAACACATGTTCCTTTATTTTTGTTTTTAAACGGGGGGCAGCCCACAAATGGTTGGTATTGATTTGCCTTTTCCACCAACAGAGGGGCTTCGAACCAAACAAGGACACACGCCCGTTCCTCAATTGGCCAAGGCGCCAAGCTTCCACTTCTTGGCCGCCTCACTCTTCCTGAGGCAAACGAGTTTTGTGGGAAGCCTTGAACCCGTTGGCCAGAACAGGCGAAATAACTCTTGGGGCTTTGACTTGTGAATCCGACCGAAAGTGGTACGGAGGCTTTGCCAAAAAGGAGATTCTCTTAACACGCTGGGTTTTGGGGATCTGCACGGGAGTAAGAACCCATTCCTGGTAGCTGTAAAACTGACGAGGTATTGACAAGGGCAGGATTTTGGGGACAGTCTGACAGTAGAACTACAGGGACTCATGCGCTGTTTCAACCATTCAAAATCATGCAAGGGGGATTCCTCTGCTCAGCAGGGCCCGCCGGATGAACCAAAGTTAGCACGGACTACATTCCTGGGTTCCTAGACCCCCACGCAACAAAATGACTTTTGACGGTACTGGCGAACACATGTCATGTTCCCAAAGAGTCAACCTCTTCGGACTCCAAGTTGCCACCACAAAAACAAAGCGAATATGCGCCGATTCTGCAGAATGTGTCAAACGCGGGGCGCTCTGATTCACATCTGAGGGTTGCCTCAAAATGGTGGTCCCTTAAACTTTCGGCGTTCCCTTTGGCTTCCCAATGAAACACCAAACAAATCAAGGGGCGGGAACACTCATCTAAGTTCCGTCAAAAGGCACCCAGCATTGGACCGAGTGTCTCGGTCTCAGCTTCCGCTTCCGTTTCCGGCTCAGCGGGTGCTGACTCCCCTAGGCGAGTTGCATGCGGCGAAATCGGCCAAAAACTCAAGTAATTTATGGGGAGACGAGGTTGCTGTGAATCGGCAAACAACACATGCCACATTTCAGGGGCTCTCCTTGCTCCTGAATTGCACGTGCCTGCCCTTTCGCCTGGCACGCTTTAAATGTGTGGGTACATACAGAATCTCAACTGCCGTTTTGGTAGATAGAGACGTGACGTGCCTGTGCAGCAGTTCTTGCCCAAATATCTCGTTTCAACAACTTAACCCCACCAAAACAGCAAAGAACGTGCTAACTTGGCCGGAAACCAAACTTTTCAAACCACCAAGGGAGCCGCTTACTGTAGGAACCCTTATGACCTATGATTATCTCAGTTCGCCGTCAAGAGTTTATGCTGGCTCCTGCCACTCCAGGTCGGGTGTTTTGACCTGGCACAAATTCGATGTGTCGGAATAGGGGTAATCCAAAATGATGGTTTTCTTGGTGGCTTCCCTTCAAACTTTAAGAAAAACGAAAAGAAACAAAAAAACACAATCATGCCAAGCCTAGAGCTGAGCCGAGTCACGAGCATCGGCCAAGTGGCTCGAAGTGAAGGACCGGCCTGGGACGAAATTTAAGCCAACTCCGAGGCGAGCTGACCGAGAACCGATGAAGCAGACACAACCCCCGAGTCGTTTGCGGAACATGGCCGTGGGTCAAAATCCAAATCGTACCCCAGTGAGCATCTCAATCCCATTAGACTAAAATGGGTCCCCAAAATGAGGGCTTAACCCACAGCCACATGTTGTCGACCCCCAACATCAACCCTCATGTACACCCAAACGCGAAAGTCCTTGCATTTTCGTGTTTTTCTTGAAAGTCCGCAGCCTGCCAGTAAAAACAACGCAACGAGTAGTCCCGGCAGGGTCCTTGCAACTGAGCCTTCCCCACTGGCACACGGCGCCCAAGTGTCTCCTAAAACTGCTTTGTTTGAGTACCACTACGGACGCAATCCCCATGGCACATCGCATGTTACAAGGCACTTAAACGCATTTTAAGCATACATGTTTAAGTACGAGTAAGAAGGCAATCCCCATGGCACATCGCATACCAGTTGGGACCAAGATGTTGCTTGACTATGTGTGTTTGCACGCCAAAAAGAAGGCAATCCCCATGGCACATCGCATGCTCAACAACATCGAAACAAGTCTTGCAAAAACAAGTTCGTGTGCTAGTACGAAGGCAATCCCCATGGCACATGCATACCCAAAGGCAACCAAACACATCTCGAAAACATCTTTTCGAAACACAAAAATGAAGGCAACCCCCATGGCACATTGCATAATCAACCGCAATGTGTCTCCTAAAACTGTTTTGTCTGAGCGCCGCTACGGACGTGATCCCCATGGCACATCGCATATTGCAAGGCACTTCAGCGCATTTAAGCATACGTGTAAGAAGGCAACCAGCATGGCACATCACATGCCAGTTGGGACCGAAATGTCGCTTAACTATGTATGTTTGCTCGCCAAAAAGAAGGCAATCCCCATGGCGCATCGCATGCTCAACAACATCGAAACAATTCTTGTGAAAACAAGTTCATGCGCTAGTACGAAGGCAAGCCCCATGGCACACGCATACCCAAAGGCAACCAGATGCATCTTGAAAACATCTTTCCGAAGCACACAAATGAAGGCAACCCCCATGGCACATTGCATCATCAACCGCGATCTCCTAAAACTGCTTTGTTTGAGTGCCGCTACAGACGCAATCCCCATGGCACATCGCATATTACAAGGCGCTTAAATGCATTTTAAGCACACATGTCTAAGCATGAGTAAGAAGGCAACCAGCATGGCGCATCGCATACCAGTTGGGACCGAAATGTTGCTTGACTATGTGTGTTTGCACGCCAAAAGAAGGCAATCCCCATGGCACATCGCATGCTCAACAACATCGAAACAAGTCTTGCAAAAACAAGTTCGTGTGCTAGTACGAAGGCAATCCCCATGGCACATGCATACCCAAAGGCAACCAAACACATCTCAAAAACATCTTTTCGAAGCACAAAAATGAAGGCAACCCCCATGGCACATTGCATAATCAGGCGCAACGTGTCTCCTAAAACTGCTTTGTTTGAGTGCCGCTACAGACGCAACCCCCATGGCGCATCGCATATTACAAGGCGCTTAAATGCATTTTAAGCACACATGTCTAAGCATGAGTAAGAAGGCAACCAGCATGGCGCATCGCATACCAGTTGGGACCGAAATGTTGCTTGACTATGTGTGCTTGCTCGCCAATAAGAAGGCAATCCCCATGGCACATCGCATGCTCAACAGCATCGAAACAAGTCTTGCAAAAACAAGTTCATGTGCTAGTACGAAGGCAATCCCCATGGCACAAGCATACCCAAAAGCAACAAAACACATCTCGAAAACATCTTTTCGAAGCACAAAAATGAAGGCAACCCCCATGGCACGTTGCATAATCAACCGCAACGTGTCTCCTGAAACTGCTTTGCTTGAGCGCCACTACGGACGCAATCCCCGTGGCACATTGCATATTACAAGGCGCTTAAACGCATTTGAAGCACACATGTCTAAGTATGAGTAAGAAGGCAACCAGCATGGCACATCACATACCAGTTGGGACCGAAATGTTCCTTGACTATGTATGCTTGCTCGCCGAAAAGAAGGCAATCCCCATGGCACATCGCATGCTCAACAACACTGAAACAATTCTTTCAAACACAAGTTCATGTGCCAGTGTGAAGGCAATCCCCATGGCACATGCGTACCCAAAGGCAACCAAACATCTTGAACACATTTCTCGAAGCGCCAAATACAAGCAACCCCCATGGCACATCGCAGAACCAACCGCAACCGAGCACTGTTTAAACATATATATATATAGTGTAGTAGTAGTAGTAGTAGTAGTAGTAGTAGTAGTAGTAGTAGTAGTAGTAGTAGTAGTAGTAGTAGTAGTAGTAGTAGTAGTAGTAGTAGTAGTAGTAGTAGTAGTAGTAATAGTAGTAGTAGTAGTAGTAGTAGTAGTAGTAGTAGTAGCAGTAGTAGTAGTAGTAGTAGTAGTAGTAGTAGTAGTAGTAGTAGTAGTAGTAGTAGTAGTAGTAGTAGTAGTAGTAGCAGAAGCAGTAGTAGTAGTAGTAGTAGTAGTCGTGGTGGTAGTGGTAGTAGTAGTAGCAGTAGTAGGAGGTGCCTTGTGTTAAGTGTTTGGCAAGTTTACCCAGGAAAAAAACGAGTCCAAAAACGAGTCTAAAACGAGTCCGAAAAGAAAGAAAACGTGCAGCCGCAACCCACCTAGGCCTCAGCCTGAAAAGCAGGCCGTTGAAACCAATTGATGTGTTAAGCAGACTGTCGGCCTTAGCCTAATACGTATTACAAGCACTTGTTGAAGATACGTGTTTTTCAAGCGTGTGCCAATGCGATTGGCCTCCCAAAGCCCCAGCTTCAACAATGCAAGCTGTTCTAGGAATCTTGTTGCGGATGACTGCGTGTGCCAACGCGCTTGGCCTTCCAAAGCCCCAGCTTCAACAACGCGAGCTGTTCTAGGAATCTTGTTGAGGATGATTGCGTGTGCCAATGCGAATGGCCTCACAAAGCCCCAGCTTCAACAACGCAAGCTGTTCTAGGAATCTTGTTGAGGATGATTGATTGTGCCAATGCGATTGGCCTCGCAAAGCCCCAGCTTCAACAACGCAAGCTGTTCTAGGAATCTTGTTGAGGATGACTGCGTGTGCCAATGCGATTCATGTGTTAGTTGACTGAACCTTCTCATTATCTTGGCCAGAGGCAGTGTGCCATTGCGTTTTGTGATGGGAGTGGGCCTCAACATTCAACAGCGCACCTTCGCCAAACACTCCTCAAAGTATCCGGCCCCCCATGGCACACCAGACACTTGGCTTTGTGTACAGTGGGGGGCTGGGGTAGCACTTGCGTCGCCAGCAACATCTAAGCCTGCAACTTCTATCACCTCGAATCCTACTGGCACACAGCTGAACAACACAAGGAACCAGACTCCCATGTGTTAGTTGACTGAATCTTCTCATTATCTTGGCCGGAGGCAGTGTGCCATTGCGTTTTGTGACGGGAGTGGGCCTCAACGTGCAACAGCGCCCCTTCACCAAACACTCCTCAAAGTATCCGGTCCCCCATGGCACACCAGACACTTGGCTTTGTGTACGGTGGGGGGCTGGGGTAGCACTTGCATCGTCAGCAACATCTAAGTGAAACGAGTGTACCCATGCGATTTGATTCAAAATGGCTTCATGCCACACATCATAAAAGACAGCATGATCATGACCCTAAATAGCTTTCCCCACTGGCACACTGCTTGCGGCGCGAGATCATGGCTTGCGGGGCGTGTAACCACAAGGACCCAGTAAGTGTTTTTTCAGGCGTGTGCCAATGCGATTGGCCACCCAAAATGCCTCAACATCACCAACACAAACCGCGATCGAGGGAAGGTGTTTTCCATGTGTGCCAGTGCGTTCGGCCTACCCAAAAGACCTCAACTTGATCAATGAAACCATCTCAGGGGACCACGTTCAGCATGTATTTCTCTACAAAAAAGACCTCAATATCACGCAGCAATTGTCTCTTGAAAACATGCTAAACCAAACGCCACTGGCACACGGAGTTGCAACGACCCTACCGGATGCGTTTCGTGTGCGTATTACACGAAAAACATGCTGCCAAAACCAAACGCAACGACTTTCACAGGTGAGAGTAACTGCTGTTCTCTTGAATCATGAGATTCAAACGAGTCAGCGGAGCACACGGGTGATTTCCAACACCACCCAAAGGGAAATGTTGAGAGCCCTGTTTTCCACGCCCTGGCGACATCATTTGTCGAGCTGCTGGTGAGCAAAAGCCTCTTGCTGTCTGCCCTCTTGTAGACCTTCCCCAGGGCCGTGCGGCTGGTCTTCTGCACCACAACGGTTCCTGAACGTGCTTCCAGCTTCCATAGTCGGCCAGGTTATATAGAGGGCAAAACAATTACATTCATTCTACTGTGATTCCCCTTCAACCCCCACAATTGCCACTGGCGAAGGCCAACTTAGGACCTGCACAGGAAAGTGAAGTCGACCCACAAATGATGTGTAAGACCGTACAACAAGCCCCTCACGAGCTGCCAATTGCTGTGTGATTCACTTCAGAGCGGCGCCCCACAGCAAACTGCATGGCCAGCTACAGTGAAATGACGTCGACCATGTTGCTTTTGCACGGATTTCTCTCGGGTTGCATGTGTAAACCAAGTAGCTCTGTGAAGCAACGAAACGCCTGCAACGCCGGAAGAGCGCCCCCCAATGCGGTCCTTCATCCGGATCAGGCTCTACATGCGGCCTCTCCTGCGCCGACTGGTTGTGAACTCTCTACCCAAAGAACTCAAGACATATGAGGCGACGCTTGACCTAAAACACATCATCAAATTGACAGATAATTCTCTCTGAAGCGCTCATGATGAATCCCATATGAGCACATCATCACATATAGAAGGATCACGAGAAAACAAAAAAGGTCCAATGCAATCAATTTGCCCGCTCTGGGCAAGTAGATCCATCCCCACGCTGACCAACGTTTAGACTTCCCCTGCAGCTCATCCATTTCCGGCGAGTTCCGAGTTCCCATGAGTTTGCCAGGCGAAAGAAAACATGAGACCGGGCGCGCCTGCTAGGCTGACAAGGTCCCAATGGACTGTTTATGCAAGCGCATCATTGGGCGAGTCAGCTGTATCTTCAAGCGAACCGAAGCAGCAGTCTTCCAAGCATGGCCACACTGATGTTTGCAGCATAGCCTAGAAGCCAGCTCATCAACCATTGGAAAATATTGAGCACTTTGAAAAGGCGCAAGTTGTGAATCATTTGTTCCCCAGTTATTCAAGGACGGTCGCGCCATTTTGCAAAATCACTGCCTGCAAAGTCTTGCAAAGTCTTGCGCCAGGTTCAGAGATACACCCTCAGCGTACCGCCAACGAGGGTTTCCCAGATGTCAGGGACATTCTGGGACATGTTCAACCAGCTGATGCTCATGTTGGTAGCCAGGTTTGTTGGTTCTGTAGAATCCTACTAAACCAGTAGGGAAGAATACTCTCTGAACATAGCAACTTGAATATCAGCATGGTGCAATGCATATTATGCGGGGTAACCTCTCGAAGCTGATGCTTACTTTGGCCACACTGGAGTCAAAAGCGGTGCATCTCATTTTGCTCTACACACCTCCACTCATCCACCAGCTGGTTCAGAATCCCAAGCACAAAAATATTGGTTTGCTTCCGCAATCCCAAAATGGGTAGCCTTGAAAACACAGCAATCGCTCTCGCCTCCGGATCTTCGCTGAGGACACTTCGCCTGGTGAATGGACGACTTCTCAGCTTCCGGTATGGGAGTTTCTTGGGCCAAACGTGAACCAAAAGCACCAAATTAGCAAACGTGAAGTTGTTCGGCCCCACTCATCTAATATAACTCCAGTGTTCCAAAATAGTGATTAACTTGGAACACTGGAGCTCTGGTTTGGATGGCTTGGGGATGAGCAAGTTCTTGAAGCCAAATAGGAAGCACCCCCAAACCTCCCAACCAAGGATTCAAACTTTCAAAGCACCAATCAGGGGGAAGCTGTTGTCTCTGGTCTTCTAGCACAATGATTCTGCAACACACCTTCCATACATGAAATTCAAGTCAACGAAGCCAATTCGCCATGTTCAGCCCAAATTCGGAGAGCCAACGAGCCAACACATCTGACCATAGCCAACGCATGGGACCGCCCACGGCACAGTTCCAACTCCAACTCCCTGGGCACATTCAAAGCGGTCAGGGGCCAGGGGTGATTCTTTTTTCAGGCTTCAACCAAAACTTGCTGGTTCTCAGCAGGGAATGAGGACACAACCCTTATGTCCCCATCCCATTTAGCTTCCTTCAACGCCCAGAAGCAATTGTTTGCACCCCCCCCCCAAAAAAAACGACCTGATGTTGGGGGTAAACCACCCCTAGAAGGAATTTGGAAAACCCCTCAAAATGTCACAGCTTAGTGACAAAACTCCCCCCCTCCCTGTTCCGGCCTCTCACTGGCTTCATCCTCCCGGCGCTCCTTGCAAGCACTCAAAGGCAACTTTTCGACGTGTTCGCCCCCAAAGTCGCTTGGTTTGGACTGTTTTAGTGGTGGATTCAAATTTCAGTCGCTTCCTGACTGAGAGCCTTCGGCTGACCCTTTCCAAACAAAGGGCACCCAGGGTACAAGTTTCTGATAACCTTTGGAAAATGCCGGACAATGAAACTGTTTCAAGCCACTCGCACACGCTTGGGCGTTGGTCACGGTTGGCACTTGAAAAACACGGCCGTGTTGACCCGGCCAAATCCGGGACCTCCAATCATTTCCTTTTGTGTTCCTGTGAAAAGCATAAAAGAAGTACCCAAATACCAGCCCATGTCCCTGTTGGTTCTCCTTTGTTACGAGTTTGCACAAGGGGATGTCAGCATCTCAAGGTACAGGTCGTCAGTCGGAAGCTGTCCAAGAATTACCCAAAAAGGGGGTCGGCTTTGGAATTCCATGGGACACTCCCCTTGGTCAACCAGAGATTGAGTGGCCTAACGGGTCCCAATAGATTGATTTATAACCCCAGTGGCCACTTGTGCAAAGAAACTGCAAGATTGGATGCGGCGGCCAGCGGCTGCCGAGACTGCACTGTTTTTGGCACGAAGAAGCAGGCAAACAAACAATTGGGTATCGTGTCAAAATTAATTAGGGGACCCAACAAGTGGTTGTTGACCATCAGGTTTCCTGAAAAACCAAGCTGAAAAGGGTATATCCTTTTATGTACCCTTTAAAAAATAAAATACTTCGCTTCGAGCAATCCCCACCCTCCACACTCACAAGCTTACGACCGTTACAACAAATTATTCCGCATCCTGGAGACTTCGACTCCAAATTCAAATCGGCCCTTTTGGACAGTAAGCAAAACCATACTGGCGAGCTGCTCTGGCGGGATATTGGCGGGATCCACTGGCGAATACTGGCGAGCCACGGATACTCGGCAGGATCCACCGGCAAGGGATCAGCGGGATACTTGGCGGGATCCACTGGCAGGCTGCTCTGGTGGGATGCTGGCGAGCTACTCTGGCGGGATCCACTGGTGAGCTAGTGGATACTCGGCGGGATCCATTGGCGAGCCGCTCTGGCGGGACACTCGGCGGGATCACTGGCAAGCCGCTCTGGCGGGATACTCGGCGGGATCACCTGACGAGCAGCTCTGGCGGGATACTGGGCGGGATCCACTAGCCAGCTGCTCTGGCACGATACTCGGCGGGATCCACTGGCGAGCCGCTCTGGCGGGATACTGGGCGGGATCCACTGGCGAGCCGCTCTGGCGGGATACTGGGCGGGATCCACTGGTGAGCAGCTCTGGCGGGATACTCGGCGGGATCCACTGGCGAACTGCTCTGGCGGGATACTGGGTGGGGGCGTGGTGTAGAAGCATCGCAAACGCGGATTCCAACATAAAATCTAACAACCCCTTCCTGTCGGGTGGGGAAAAACCCAATTCAAGAAAGTGAGGCGGTCAACCATCTTGAGTGCACAAAGCGAACGGGCCGTCGATCCCGATCCCTTGGAAGATTTCGGGGTCTTCATGCATTCCCACCCCAAGAGAAAATGTCTGGGGGAGGCCCCCAATTGGGGCCTATGACAAACCAGTAGGTTCCTTGTTTGGGAGGTCCCCTCTTTTGAGGGGTCGTGACAACCATGGGAAATAGCCAAGTAAACCATCTGTGTTTCATATATTGCCCGACCCGGCCTCGGTCTCCTCATGGTTTTGCCTGCCCGCCAAGCAAATGTTGCAGTTCAAGTGGCAAATCCCGAGGATAAGGTTGATTTCCTTAATAAGAACAGCGATAAAGTCAAGGGTTCCCTTGTTTCCCACTTTGAACTAATCCAACAAGCTGTAACTTGCAGAATTCAAGCGTTGCGTTCATGTCCACTTGCATGGGAAATTTCTTATGGAATCGCTGGGCTTTGTTTGAGTTGAACTTCCCCCGGTTTGATCATTTTTGTTTTGCTCGATTTGGCCGACTTTTTTTACGGGATCCCCCAAATGGTGGTTTTCCCGCCAGTTTTCCTTTTAAAACCACCAAACAAGGGTTACCCTCAAAACAATTTGGACTTGAGAAGAACCCACACCGGAACTTGTCAGCTTCCATGGACGTGAGCAGCTGACCGTGAACGGAAACGTGAATGGCGACCCCCGAACCGCGGGACTGTGCAAGCAGTTGCAAGTTGCAGGCGACATGCGATTGTTACAGCAGGGTCCTGACATCCCTCGGCAACACTTGGCCTTCTCAATCATTGAAATAATCGAGCATGGACGGTTGTCACGGGAATAGGCAAGTTGCAACCGTGAAAACGGTTCAACCAAGATGTCACGAACTTTTTGGAGCTAGCCGAATCAAACTTCGCCCAACGAAGCCCTCCAAAACCAAACCTCTCCCCACTCCTAGGTGTATCATTCCAAAAAGGACGACCAAGTAAGAGACCTCCGTCGCTTTGTCCAGGCACGCCGTATAAGCATATATATATATATATTTGCAACAACTATTTAGATTTACCGACTCCCAATTGATTAAAATGCTTGAGCTCGTTCTAGTTCGCTCGTGATGAGCCTAAGCGACGGCCCCTCCCAGCTGTGCTGTGTGCGCGCCTGGATGGCTCCTGGCACAAGGCAGACCGAGGCCAACTGAAAAAGGCAACTGCTTCTAGGTCCTCCAGTTGAGAGATTAGAATAAGGGTTCCCGATTTGTTTTCTAATAAGGCTACCAATTTTTTTCTTTTGTCTGGTAGGGGAACCAGCCCCAAAAAAAGGCGTGAGAAGGGCGCTACTGGGGACCTACACGTCCCAAATCCCAAGTGTCCAAAAAGCAGTGCTTGACGATTGCACAAATGTTCCTGGCTTGGTGGTTCGCAGAGCCCCAAAAAAGTGTCCACCTGACAAAATGGATGGATTCCGCTGCAACCAGTGCAATCCGCCTTTCAACCAGCCCATTTCCACCCCAAACCACTGATGTTTGAACAGAATATGGGACTGTCCGTAGCTAGATCCCGGCCCCTATAATCATGAGGACTCCCTCTGGATTTTTCCACTTATCGCCCTGCCTTGAAGCTTAAGCCTGGACAAATAAGAAGTGATAGATTCCACTTAAAACCAACGGGGGAAAAAATAACACACTCTCAGCATATGGATTTTATGAGGGACACCCATAAGTTAGATTTAACCAGGGAAACCCATAATTACGTTAATTGGTGGGCCAGGTCCCCAGGTAGGCGAAGAATTAGTTTCAGCGGACACAAGGCCCGTTTGGGGCAAGGGAGTCATGGATTTCAGGAGCCCAAAGCGAAATCATCGTTGTATTCCCGGGCTTTGCATCCAAAGACCTCTTGTTTGTCTCTTGGGCCCCTAACCTAGGTTCGGTGTATTTCTAGGGGTACCTTCCCCATTCTTTCCAGGGATCCTTCTTCTCAGGAAACAATCAAAAACCCAGGGGAAACAGATCCGGTTTTTGAAAAGAACGATGATTGAAAAGAATGGAATCAACCCCTAGAGTATTCCTTTGGAGTTCCTCTAAAGGTGCGTTGCCTATTTCAAAAGCATCGCCAGCGGGGCCTCGGCAAGCTGGTCCACCTCTGGCTCGTGCTCCGGCACCTCTCAGCTCAACACTCCATAGTGGTGTTTCATTTCGGGAAATCCTCAGGAGATACGTAAGGAGCGCCATCGCTGCAAGTGGAGTCTTGTAAAACTGGGTTGCATTCTAATTTGGGTGGGTGTGTATCAACAAGGGACTTGGAAAACAACATAAACAAATTTCGGTTTCCCTTTTATTTCCCTAGCCAAGGTGAAAATGGTAGCCTCAAAACAGAAGTCATGTGGAAGTAGGCTTTTAATGCGGCCTGCCGTCCAAAATGGTTGGAGCGCATGAATTCCGAAACACTACTTTTCCGACTTGCTCTGCGCATCTCGCGGGGTTTGAAGGCTGGGGAAAACGCGTGGCACAATACTTGCCTTGCAGTAGTCGGTACTGCAAACCCACTCATAGATGCACATCAAATTGTGTCAAGGGGATCCAGAAAAGGAGGCTTGTTCTAATACACGAGCCTTGGCGCGGTGCGAGGAAGTGCAAACCTCTGTGAGCTGTTTGTGCTGCGCCACAGCCTTTCCGTGATACCAAGGTGGGCCCAAAACCCCTATATTCCACAACCGTGCAACGCGGGGACCCCCCAATGATCACCCTTGCGACAGCATCCCTTCCAAGAAGTCTCGAGAACAGCGCTTACGACAATCCTGCGCAAGTTGTTTGAAATGCTTGTTGCGCCAAGCACCAGTCTGCAACCCTGTGATGAGCAAATGCTGAAGCAAAAGGAAGGTCTCTTGTTGGTAGGTTGAGTCGCCTGTGAAACTCTTCCAGGACCTCAGCTACCAAAGCAAAACCACACGGGCCCTTATCAACGTGGAACCCACAAACCTTCAAACACACCAGTCGGAAAGCGCATCCTACCCAAGGCTTCGCACCTCCGACAGCTGCTCGGACATCTCTTTGGATGCAGACACGGACCTATCCGGGTACGCGTCCATGTGTTTGGATTTGTGGCTGCTTCGCGTGCTCGCTTCCCGCCTAACTGATCAGTGTGAACTCAGAACTCCGAAGACGCGATTTGCAAAAACTCGGCTGAATCCCCACTAAACACTTTTTAAAAAGCAAGGGGATCGCTGGGAGCCACCAAGAAAGGTAGTCTCCATGCAAAATGCTCGCTAACGAGGAAATGCGGCAAGAAGTTCATCACATAGAGCCAAATCTCCTGCCGGGTCTCTAATTGGGAATGGATCGGGAAGCCTGTTGGTTTCCTTTTGGAAAACTCCCGCACGTGGCTATTGAGAACACAGGGTTCCTCTTCTTGACGAGGCCACGGCGCTTCTTGAATCTCACACACACACACCACATTGAATTTTGGTGCAAACCCCAGCTTCTATGATAAATTGCGTGAGCTTCCTCCGGCCCCTTTCCTGCAGGCTCTTCCAAAGAAATTATTCTTCCAAAAGGGCACTTCCACGGGAGGGAGGGTACAGGCTCACCTATGCTCCACTTTTTTAAGCAGGTACCAATTTCATCAGATCCAAGGCACCCCAAAGGCTTCACCGAGATACGAACTCCCCGCCCAGTTACTCCGGTCTGTGCCTTGCGCCGGGCGCCGTCTTTGGCTTTGCGCTGGCCTGGCGTTCGCAGCATGAGAGATACGGCATGGGGATCCAATGTTCAGCGTCCAAAGCCCACTGACCTTTTGCTTCTACCACACACAATGGTTGCAATCAAGGCCGATTCAGGGTTCGCAATGGTCATGTGGCTTCATATGGGTCATACTTCTATGAAAATCAAAGGTTCATGGCCTTACAACTTTCACCAAGTAGAACCCCTGAAAAGACAAAACTGGCGGACAAACATGCGCCTTCCACACTACCCGGCTCGCCGGGTAGTGGGCGGCCCGCCTTCTCAGGCCGCTTGGCGGACCGGGTCTTGGAGCCCCGCATGCCCTGTGGTCCTGTCGCGCCACATGTCAAACCTTTTGTAGGGTCCAAGGGGGATGGAAATGGGACACATGGGACGGCAAAGCGCCATTTCGTGGGCCACTCGAATTAAAGACACTCCGACGTTTTTGACAAATTTGGAGGGTGTTTGTGGCTAGATATCGCATAGACGCAGTGTTTGGCTTTAGTTTGCGAGAACCATGCGCCATGGTAAATGCGCCCAATACAAACTGTCCAAATAACAAACCATGTGATAGCCGTAAAATAATCCAGGCACGGTATTGGACAACTCAAATTTCAGCGCTGGGGCAAAGTTTGACTTGCACCCAAATAGGCCCATTGTTTGCCGAGTCTCCGTCGCCAACGGAACCATCCGCCACGATTGCAACAAAGGCCACGCTCGCTCGAGTCTCGGTGGTGGGCCTCAGGTTCAAGATTCCACTTCCCTGGAAGATTCCAAAAAATATGTGATCCAAGCCACCCTGTCAAACTACAACAAACAAAAACGCACCCCAACTTCTGTATGGCGCTTTCCACAGTCAGATGGCTGTTCGACTTTCTGTGTCATGGGCGTTGAAGAGCTGGAGTCAAATAACACAAATTCTAGAAGCCCTATCACCGACTCACTCCAATGATGTTTGCACATTGTAATGAATCATCAACAATGCATGTTCTGCGCTCAGAAAGGAAACACGCTGGCTTGGTTGCGGTTGGCCCCTCTGCAAAAAGTTTAGCCCGTTTGTAGGTCCAATGGAAAATCCACTGTTTCAACCAACAAGAGCAAGTCCAACAATCTAACCAAATAGCCAACGCTGGGGATCACTCAAATGCCCAGTGACTATGGGAAAGAAGAATCGGCATCCGTTTTTGGTTGGTTGACTGTAATGGAATCGGAACCCTTCCCCCGTACGAAGTTGTCCAAGATGTCGGAAGACCAACCAAAATAAGATACCTCCGCTTGATTGAATATCCTGGAAAAAAACAAAATATATATCCAGTAGTGATAGATTCCCTGCAAAACAAACAGGGGAACTATAACATATTCTTAAGCAAAGGGAAGGATATACAGAGTTTACATCTGCAATCTTCCCAATTCTGAAGCCTAACATTCAGGCTACAGGGCGATCATGGCTTGCACCCCCCCCCCGTTTTATCCTACCAGCGAAGCTCGAACATAGACAGCTTACCATGGCCCCTCTCTTTGCAACGTGAATCAGCATGTCAATGTCTGCCAAGTTGCCCTTCTCCGAAGTGCATCCTTGGCCCGGCCAGGTGTCTCAAGGCCAACATGAGAATATTTGGGTGTAGATTTAAAGTAGTGGCCCCGTTTGTGAACATCATTTAGTAAATGCCCAAAAAGTTCAAGGCGTCGCTAGCTGCAAATCCCGTGTTGTTTGCTGAGATCCGCGGCGCCCGTTCATTTGGAATGGCAGCCCGGAAAGGAAACTGGTGGAAAGCTGGTGTCAACTTAAGAGGACACTTAAAATAGATGTGTCTGTGTGTGTGTGTTTCCTTTTGGTGTCCAATTAAAATCATCCAACAAAAAGATGAACAAACCACCCACACTCACAATACAGCTGGTGGACGCATGTTCCAACATTTGCAGAGGCTTTGCTCGAGCTGTGGCGTGCCTGCTTCTTTGCAACACCAAGTCCTGACGGCCGCACACGCATCACAAAGCAATGTGGGGATGTTTCTCGCAAGCAACGCTGCATCGTTCCAGAGTTTCATAGACAATGCAGCGAATCTATCCATGTGGCCAGCCGCAGACTTGATGCTGGCAACGAAACTTGAAATGTAAACTGCTGCCGTGCTCCTGTCAAGCAATGTGACTTGGGGATTCCCTCTGGCTCCCAAACCCTTGCCTCCCTGCCTGCTCTGAGATCTGAGTGACACAAGCTGTTAACGCCGTCGGACAAAACCAACCGGATGCCAAGTCTCCAGGAAGACTCGGGGCCCGACACGTTGCCCTGGCAATGGGCTGCACCGTGAGCCAGGGTCAATAGTTGTCCCCCAACTCCGTTACCAACGAAGAGGAAACTCAGCTAGTGGCTCAAAAGGCAACGCTTAAACCAGCTGGCTTTTTGAGGGGAGAAGCTTCGCATCTCAACAGCTTACGCCTTTTACGGCGCAGGCCCGTGCCAAACACGGCCTCTGCTCCCACGCGCCACACGAAACGCTCCCGAACCTTGGGTCTTGCTCAGGGAATGAGAAAACCCATCCATCTGGTGGAGGGAAGGCTTCTGAAACCTGCAAATCTTGCTGAGCAACTCTCACCAGGGCCTGGGAGGCCTTTTCGATCCAGGAGTCCATCCAGGACTGAGGCGCCAAGTCCTGCACAGCAGAATAAGCTCAGGTGATATCCCCAACAGCATGCGGTGCTCTTTAGTGCTCGCACTACCCCGCAGCCCTCGCAGAACCTCGTGGAACCCTCGTGGAACCCTGGTGGAACCCTGCTGGAACCTTACCTCAGGGCCGCCCCGGACCACCCCGGAGCCTATCTGGGCTGAAACCCCAAAGCTTTCAGCTGTTGGGTCGCCGCTCCGTGTCGCCACTTGCGCGTGTCCTTGAGAGCTTCCTCCGTCTCATTGCGGTTGCGGGTCACATTGCCCACCGCCTTGGGGCAGACCCTCTAAGCCATCAATGGTTGCGCATGAGCCAAGGGGCGAAAAAGCAACCAAGAAACCAACTGGGAAACTCTACTCAGTTCAAAAGGCAAGTTGTACAAAGAGGGGATAGAGAATGACTCCGGTTGGAGCCCTGAGGGCATGTCCAAGTCGTTTTTGACCACGTATCTGTGGAACATGCCGACTGGATGTTGGGTGGGAAGCAGCCGTGTCAAACCAGCTAGCCCAAGCTGCACACGCAGGATCCCTCTGCCAGAAACCGCCCGTGTATTCATCCCAAACTGCACTGTTTGCGAATCTCTTGCCCAAATGAAGTCATTATACAACGCACACAAAATGCAAAGCTTCGGCCTATAACAACAGATTGCCTGGCAGCCACGGCAGTTGAAGGGCCTACCTCACAAAGCCCTGCGTGCATACCTTGCCCCACGTTCGCGTGCCCAGCCTGCAAAGGAGTGGAGCCCATTTCGTCAAACATTCCAGAAGATTGCTCGTCACAAGGGGCGGGGTACGTGGAAACAAAGGGGCAATAAGTTAAAAGGTCAAACCAAGAAATGCCTTGAACACGGCTGGTTTACGTACATAAAGAAACTAATATATGATATATATATATGTATATGGGTCCTCGTGCCGCTGTCATAGACCAAACCGAGGGCCCAGTGTCTGCTGTGGAACGTCCGGCTGCTTTTGAAGAAGAGCTCTCGGCGAAAAAAAAAAACTTCCACTTTGACAGCCTCAGGCCGCATACTTACTGCCGCTGCTTGGATGCTCAACTTGTAGGCGTTGCTAAAGCAAAGCATCCAAAACACAAGATTGCGAATCATTTGTCTGAAGTCTTGATAGGCGCTGAACGGTCACTTCTAATTTTGCCCAAACTGGCGTTTCGGATCTTACGTGCCCTCTGACGCGCCAGCTTGCATTCTAATAGGGGAATTGCTCTGCGCGCTGAGTAGGGGGGTCTGGAGCCAAATGCTCATCCCCTCTCTTGGCGCTCTGAGTGGGTTAAATGGAGCCCCCCACTAAACCCTAAGGAGCTGGACGGCTGAGCCACCAAGCGAGGGACACCTAACAAAAAAAAATATGGGCGACTCAGCACCCAGTGGTGTTGGCTACAGACCCTTTTGAGCTTGCGCAAACAGAGCAAGTTGAGCTTCCCCTCGCGTGTGGCTGATTTGCTGCCTGTGTCACAACTTGGCCGTGGGTTGTTTACCTGTCCAAGAGGCTTCTGTTGATTTTCGTCTCCACAAAAGTTCGCTTCGGCTGCAGGGCCGGGACTTCCCACCTCTCATGCCTCCGTCCACTGCAGCTGCCTCCAGCCTGTCTGAAGCAAGTCCCTGAGGCCAGATCCTTCCGCGGCCCAAACTTACGCCCGGCAACACACACGCA